CTTCAGAAGATATATAATAAGAAACATCTGTGAGTTAAAAGAACATGTTCTAGCCCAATGTAGAGAAACTAAGAACCTTGAAAAAAGGTTTGATGAAATCCTAATGAGAATAGACAATTTAGAGAGGAATATAAGTGAATTAATGGAACTGAAGAATACAATAAGAGAACTCCACAAAGTATGCACAGGTTTTAACAGTTGAATTGATCAAGCAGAAGAAAGGATATCAGAGGTCGAAGACCAACTTAATGAAATGAAATGAGAAGACAAAATTAGAGAAGAAAAAGTAAAAAAGAATGAGCAAAGTCTCCAAGACATATGGGACTATGTGAAAAGACCTAATTTATGTTTGATAGGTGTACCTGAATGTCATGAAGAGAATGAATCCAAGCTGGAAAATATTCTTCAGGATATTATTCAGGAAAACTTTTCTAACCTAGTAAGGCAGGACAATACTCAACTCTAGGTAATACAGAGAACACCACAAAGATATTCCTCAAGTAGAGCAACCCCAAGACACATAATCGTTAGATTCACCAGGGTAGAAATGAAGGAGAAAATTCTAAGGGCAGCTAGAGAGAAAGGTCAGGTTACCCATAAAGGGAAACCCGTCAGACTCACAGCAGATCTCTCAGTAGAAACCCTACAAGCTAGAAGAGAGTGGGGGTCAATATTCAATATCCTCAAAGAAAAGAATTTTCAACCCAGAATCTCATATCCAGCCAAACTAAGCTTCATAAATGAAGGAAAAATAAAATTTTTTTGCGAACACGCAAGCACTCAGAGATTTCATCACCACCAGGCCTGCTTTACAAGAGCTTCTGAAAGAAGCATTACACACAGAAAGGAACAACCAGTCATGCCAAAAACTTACCAAAAGGTAAAGAGTATCTCCACAATGAAGAATCTATATCAACTTATGGGCAAAATAGCCAGATAGCATTAAATGACAATATTAAACTCACAAATATCAATATTAATCCTAAATTTAAATGGATTAAATGCCCCAGTCAAAGACACAGACAGGCAAATTGAATAAAAAGTCAAAACCTGTGGGTACGCTGTATCCAGATCCCTCTTATAAGCAAGGACACACAAAGACTCAAAATAAAGGATTGGAGGAAGACTCACCAATCAAATGGAGAACAACAACAAAAAAAAGGTAGTTGTAACTTTAGTCTCTGACAAAACAGACTTTACTAGTAACAAAGACTAAAAGAAACAAAGAAGGACATTACATAATGGTAAAAGGATCAATGCAACAACAGGAGTCAATGATCATAAATATATATGCACCCGATATAGGAGCACCCAGATACATAAGACAAGTTCTTAATGACTTACAAAGAGACTTGGACTCCCGCACAATAATAGCGGGAGACTTTGATACCACATTGTTAATATTTGACAGATCAACGAGATAGAAAATTAACAGGGACATCTATGATTAGAACTCAGACTTGGAACAAGTAAACTCAGTGAATATTTATAGAATTATTCACGCCAGGTCCACAGAACATACATTTTTCTCAGTATCACATTACACTTATTTTGAAAGTGACCACATAATTGGAAATAAATCACTCTTCAGCATTGGCATAGTATTTCACAGACTTAAATGAAATATTGGTTGACCGTTTGTTCTTTTCTTCCCTTATTCCTTCCTGTCTCTGCTGTTAAGCACAATTAAGAGGTTTTTAATACCTATTTTTAGATTGCATTCCAGCCTGGGCAATAGAGCAAGACTCCTGTTCTCTCTCCCCCTTTTTCTTTCTCTTTCTTTCCTTCTTTCAAAAAAAAAAAAAACAAAACACAAAACTTAATGATTGTACATGGATGCAAATTATTTTATAGAAAGATAAAATTATTCCTGTGTTTGGAATTCTTAATAGGATGTCTTTCCGATCTGATAAATTAAAGGTCGAATTGATCAAGCAGAAGAAAGGCGTTTGATTTTTCTAAATTGCTTTCATGATGTTAAGTTGCAAGCTTTACCCACAAGTAGTCATTTGGGGATTATGGACCATGTATGGTAAAAGACATTAGGGCTGTGGGCAGCACCCATGGCCTTACGTTGCCCTCTGCCCTCTTTCCTCCATTCCCCATCTACTGATGAGGCTGCTTCCCTGAGGTCCACATGTTTTCCTGATATTCTTTTTTTTTTTTCTACTACGTTACAAAATTCAACATGTATTGGAATGAGCTTGGGCTTCAGAACATAGTAGGATTGTGTTTGATTTCTCCTTCTCCCTCATGGTAACCATGTGACTGTGGACAGACAAGTCACTTGACTCCTCTTAGCCTCAGTTTCTTTTGCCATAAAATGAAGACATTTCAGCATTACATTGAAGAGTAAATGGTATTATGTTGTATATATGACATGTCAAATATTATAGCTGGTATGATAATTGCTTAATAAGTGGTAGCTGTTAAAATACTGGAGCCATCATCAGTACACAGTAAATGGTGGTTCCTTTTCTGGTCCCAACCAAAATTTTTACATATGTTCTATCTTTTTCAAATAGAAGCTGATTCTAGTAAGCTCATCTGTGCTGTTGGGTGTCTGTTACTTAGTGGACCACTTTTCCCATATAATCGTGTGGACCTTACTGTTGGTCTTATGGTACATTAAGCCTTGGATGATGGGGATTGTCTGACTGTCTGATATGAAAATACAGATATGGGGGTGTATCTGTTTTTAAGTACAAAAAACCCTAAATAGTAACCAAGCACCGCTATTTTATTTTCTCCTTCTATAGTTGTGTGCTGCTCATCTCCCTACTGAATCAGACGCACCAAATCATTATCAGGCGGTATGCCGTGCCCTGTTTGCAGAAACGATGGAGCTCCATACATTTTTGACCAAAATTAAGAGTGCAAAGGAGGTAAGTACTACTGCTTTGATATTTATTGGCATAGTTTGATAGGCGTGTATTTGATATTTATTGGAAGATAAGCCTAAATTTTTGACATTGTCCACTCTATTGTTTTAAAAGATTTATTACCATCCTTTGGATGAGTGCTGAAAGTCATTCAGGAAAGAAGCAACTTAGCTAAAATTAAATCTACTCTATTAAAATATCAACAGTGTGAACCCTTTAAAAAACAGATTTTCATACAGATTCCTTGCAAATGGAAATAAATACTACTGAACTGGTTCAGTCCATTCCCATGTGACTTGCTTTCCACCCGCTTTCTGCCGTTCTTCGCTTCTGTTCATTCTGAAACATATTAGGACCTCTTCCGTGAGGGATAAGGACTCAGAAAAGAGGTGACACTTACATCTGATCATTTAACTATTTTACTTATTATTTATTTAAAAGGTGAGTCACCGTGTGTTAAGTAGATGGTTGTGAAAATTCAGTGAGATCTTTTTTTTTTTGTTTTTTTTTTAGATGGAGTTTCGCTCGTTACCCAGGCTAGAGTGCAATGGCGCGATCTTGGCTTACTGCAACCTATACCTCCTGGGTTCATGCAATTCTCCTGCCTCAGCCTCCCGAGTAGCTGGGACTACAGGTGCATGCCACCATGCCCAGCAATTTTTTTTTTTTTTTAGTGGAGATGGGGTTTCACCATGTTGACTCAGTGAGATCTTATATAAAATAACATAGCATCTAGCAGAAAATGAGAGGTCAGTACGTGATAGGTAATGGATATCTATATTAGTCAGGTAGTTCAGAGAGACAGAGCCAATGGGCTTTATAGATATGCAGGTATATGAAAAGGGGCAGGTGCAGGCTTATGCCTGTAATCCCAGCTACTTGGGAGGCTCAGATAGGAGGATCACTTGAGGCCAGGAGTTCAAGATACATGAGAAGGGATTTATTAGGGGAATTGGCTTGTGTGATTATGGAGGCTAAGAAGTCCCATGATGGGTTGTCTGCAAGCTGGACACCCTGATATTCCATCAGCACAGCTCAGTCCAAGTCCAGAGACCAAGGATAGGAGAAGAAAAGTATATCCCAGTACCAGGAGAGAGAGAGGGGCCAATTTTCTTTCCTCTGTTTTTATTCTACACAGGGCCCCAGCCAAATGGATGGTGCCTACTCAAACTGAGGGCACTACTTAGTCCACTCAGACTCACACACCAGTATCCTCTGGAAACACACTCACCTAAATCCATACCTAAAATAAAAATCTCGGTATTCTTTTATTCAGTCAAGTCGACACCTAAAATTGACTATCACAGTATCATTTCTTTTATAACTAACATATAGGGTTTATCAGAAACACTAAGCTAAAACTTATCGTGACCCACAGTTTGGGGAAAACACGTGGTGGATATATAAGCAAAAAAGGAAAAACTAAACTATTTTCCCATTAAGATGTACTTAGCCCTGGTAGTAAGTAGATGATGGGTGTCTCAGGCAGATCACCCTTAATAAATCACCCTTAAATAGATTTATTGTATATATATATATATATATGCATAAGAGCTCTAAGCAGCCTTCCTCTGCCCTAGCCAGGGTACTGCTTTTTATGGATCTGTCTTTTTATGATAGGGCAATGAAAAGCTTTGCCTTTTTTTTTTAATTTTACAAAATTGGATCAAGGAGGAAAGTTATCAACAGTGGAGAAAGGTAAATTCTATGTTATTTGAAGAATAAATACGAGTGAGAGAGAGAGAGAGAGTGTGTGTGTGTGTGTGTGTGTGTACTAGCTATTTTCTTTGAACAGAGAACCTGAGGAAGTGAGATCTGATTAAAAGCTTCAAAGTGAACATCCAAAGGCACGTCCTCATCCTCAACTAAGTTTTCTCAGATAGTAGAAAAGATTACTTTTTAAGGCTGTCATTACCTTTCCCAGCTTGTTAAGATGGATTGTCTTCCCCAGAGCATTATTTTTATGGTGTACATGTACAGTGTTGGGTTAATTAAATGAGCTCTTAAAGTCCTTCTAATACTGGCATTCTTAGAAACTATTTGTGAGCTTAAATAGAGCAATATTCATATTTTTACTACCCTACCCTGCAATGAGCATTTTTAAAATGTTTGCTCTTGATCCTTTCACAGTTCCTAAGCACGATGATTGGATATTCATACTTGTGTATGAAATGTCCCTTTTTCTAAACCTCATGTCAGCACGTTACTCATCTGATGTAAAAAAAAAAAATTATTTTTGCTCTTGATTAAAATTTTGCTTTGCCAGATATGCAAACACACTTTCAAAAAGAGATTCAAACATAATTAAATTTTATCTAAATAAAAAGCTGACAGACAGGTGGAGTAAAACTGCTGTGTCACAGTACCTACAGAAACTGGGCAGGTTGACCAAGGTTGGGCCCTCACAACTGTTCGTAGGTCCAGCCACATCTCTCACCCTCAGACCCCAAGGCTAGGTCTTCATAGGCATTAGTTCCATCCTGTTTTCACATCTCCCTCTACTCTGTTGATCTTCATCTCAACCATTCCCAGTCTTCTCTGGAAACTACAATCCAGTTTGAAAAGAGTTCCCTCAGGCTCTTCTCACAATACTTGTGCCCCTAAGGGTAGTGCTTTCTCTTGCTTCCCTCCTGTGGGAAGCTGGTCTCTCCTCTACATCTCCATGTCTGGATTGGGTTTGCTAATATTCTGTCTCTCCTCTGCTGCCTGCCAGTAATCAACTTTCATCCTTGTTGAAACACTCTTCTTCCTTTGATGCTCCTGTCATCACTTCTGTCATCTTGAGTGATTTCCTAGATGAAGAAAGCACATAAATTGCCTATCCAATATCAAGATTTTAGGAATGAAGTCTTACACAGTCCAAATAAGTTTCTTTTTCCTCTGCAGTGTATAAGGCTTTCTTTATGTATGTATGTTAGTGATCTTTTTTTTTTTTTTTTTTTTTTGAGACAGTTTCGCTCTTGTTACCCAGGCTGGAGTGCAATGGCACGATCTCAGCTGACCGCAACCTCTGCCTCCTGGGTTCAGGCAATTCTCCTGCCTCAGCCTCCTGAGTAGCTGGGATTACAGGCACACACCACCATGCCCAGCTAATTTTTTGTATTTTTATTAGACGTGGGGTTTCACCATGTTGACCAGGATGGTCTTGATCTGTTGACCTCGTGATCCACCCGCCTCGGCCTCCCAAAGTGCTGGGATTACAGGCTTGAGCCACTGTGCCCGGCCTGTTAGTGCTCTTAACCTTTTCTCAAAAATACTTTTTTCACACTAATACTATTTGTTAATTTGATTTTTTTCTGAAGTCAAAATACTTAATATATTTTAAGAATCACACTTTACACCTATGAGTTAGTGTGTACTAAGAGGAATTTTTGAAATTATACTCTCTGATTCAACAAAGTTAAAAATTGGGTTATCAACAATTTTTCAAACTACCTCATATCTGTGTCTGTGTGTGTATGCATGAATGCATATAAATTGGTGTGGAATCGTAGTGTCAGAACATTTGAGCTCAGTTGCTGATAATGTGTCTGATTTGATATTCCAAAAGTACTTTAATTATATTAAATTTCTTACATGCCAAATAGGCAATTTATTAAAATACAAAATCTATCATCTGTTTTCCAGTGTTATACTTGTTCTGTAAAGTGTTAAATGCATTTACTGAACTTAGCTACTTTATAAAGCACAGTGCCTGGTTCATCATCTATTTATTTAGAAACCAAATTTGTTTACAATCTGATCTCTTTCGTGGTGTGATGATTTTCTTCTTAAACTAAGGTTATTCTTTGAATGATAAAGATTTGGGTAGACCTGCTGTTACTTTGTCTCTTAAGCAATGTGATATCCTTGAAAGTAAATACACATTTCTGTGTCTCCTAAGCAATTTGATATCCTTCTAAGTTAAGTATAGCTGGAGGGACTGTCTAAGCAATCCATTGAGTGCATCAGGTTGTATGAAAGAAGATCCACCCTGCCCTGCTCCCGGTGACACTACCATATTCCAGAGCTGTACTGCAGGGGTAGCTGGTGAGCCTGTGCTATGCAGCGGGGGCAGTTTCAAAGGTAAAATTTTTTATTAGAGAAAATGAAATTATGTTAATGGTAACATCCTTTAATCTATTGTGGTTCAGGTAATTTTTTTATCATTAGTCTCCAGTTTTGTTATTGTTAAATAAAATTTTTTATCATTACCTAAAACTTTAACCCCTGCTACTTTCCTATGTTTATTCATACAGCTACTTTATAAAATGTTTTCTCTCCCTTACTCCATTTAATCTTACAGAGTCCTGTGACTCTTTCAAATTAGTAAACTGAGGCAGTTCTCAGGGCTGCTGATAACAGCGTTTCCATCCTTATCATACCCTTCAGTCCAGCAAAGGTGTTGCACTACATAGAAGTTATTGCTGTTTTCCTCTAAGAGTGTCACATGAAATGTACTGTTAGATGAAAGTAAAGAGAGTTCTGAAGAAAATGGAAGTCGATACTTTGGTATAGGTTTCTGAACAGTCTTGGAGAGAATATGTGAGTCAGTGAGACTAATATTTGGCTTTGGGGAGAAGAGGGTTCATGAAAGAATGTGTGGGCATGCATGTGTTGGTGTTAGGGGATGATGGTCCTGCATATGCACACAGATGGGATTGGGGGGGTACCATGTTAAGTTCAGGTGTAAAATAAGAGTGAGGCCAGGCACGGTGGCTCATGTGCCACCACACCGGCTAATTACAGCACTCTGAGAGCCCAAGGCAGGAGGATTGCTTGAAGCCAGGAGTTTAGTACTAGCCTGGCCAACAAGGCAAGACCCCCTGTATAAAAAAAATAATAAGAGGGAAATGTGAAGTGGGAAAAGATAGAGGATCATAGATGTGTGAAAGACTGAGATAAAATAGTTTTAAGACTGGAAAGTCAGTTGATTTTTCTCTGATACATTCCTAGCATGCTCTAACCATCATTGCCTCCATGGTGAAAGTGTGCAGTATGCTTGTCAAATTCTCCAGTAATACATTGTTTCATAGTAGTGGCATAATGATATTATAGTAGAAGAAACTTGATGTATCATAGAAGTACACTAGTTTAAAATAATTTTTGGAAAGCTTTCTTTAGAGCAAATAACTCATTTTTTTATTTATTTCATAATTTGAAATATTTATATTAACACTCATGTTCTGTAAAAGCCCTTTTATTGGTGAATCATACCATTCATTATTCATGTAACTTCTTAAAATCAAATAGCATTTGCAAGACTTCTGTTTACTCATCTTTAAAAATGGGAGGAAGGCCTGAACTCAGTGGCTTACTTCTGTAATCACAGCACTTTGAGAGGCCGAGGCCAGGAGTTTACCAGACTGAGCAGCATAGCAAGATCCTAAAATCCTGGAATCCTTGCTGCTTGGGAGGCAGAGACAAGAAGATCTTGTGAGCCCAGGAGTTTAAGGCTACAGTGAGCTATGATTCTCGCCACTGTGCTCTAGCCTTGGCAATAGAGTGAGACCCTGTCTCTAAAAACATAAAAATGGGGAAGGGGCAATTAGACATGTTAAGCTTCCTTCTAGTCCTAAAATTTTATGCAGAAAATACAATTTGTGTGACGAACTCTTTTGTTCTATTTATTCAACAAGCTCTCCCTCATTTTTGTTGTTAGTCTTACTGCACATGCAAAGTGTATACAGATAAATAAGTGCATGACCATTAAAATTTGCTATGAAATTATTGTATACTATTTTATGTCTTAAATTTGATAGGGATTTTACAGGAAATCAGTTCAGTGTTGTAGATAAATTGATCAAAATAGAGGATGCTCTAGGCCTTTTAAAAACACAGATTTAACTTTTTTAAATTGGTAAGCTAGTTATAACAGTCAATATTGATTCAGCATAGGCTAAAAATAAAATTATTTTCACAGTCTACTGACAGAAAATCCCTGTACAGAATAAATTCCTAATACAGTAACATTAGTTATCAATGAATGAACAGTGAAAATAATTGTGCATTTATAGCATGTGTTCATGATATTGCACCAAGAACTTTATAAGGCATGTAAAATAGATTTTTAATGTCCTAATTTCTGTTTTCTAGATTATGCACTTGAAGTGATGAAAATTTTCTCTTCTCTTGCATTTTCTTGTATTTCATACACATAAACATCACCCAAACGAAGGCAGAATTTTTCAAACATTTTGATCTTTGACGGAGAAGATGTCTAATATAGTTAAGCCATCTTGGATTTCTTCAACAGTAGGCTCTACAGGTGTGGGTTGTCATTTCTGATTATCTGACTATAATGATCTTGGGACTCTTCTCAAGTGTGACTGTATCTGCGGTGCTTAGTTTCTTGACATCTTAAACGCCTCTTAAAAATTTTGTCTTCATTGACCCTTTCAAGTACGATTTTTCACTCACATCCTTCATATGTCAGCTGAAATGAAAGGACATCTCCTCAGGCCATGCAGACACCTTTATATATTTAGCACAGACTGCCTTTTTTGTTTTAATCGTAGGTCCCCTATTATCTCCTTTTTAGCTGCCATCACAGTCTGTAGTTGTTTTGTTAGTCCCTTATTCATTGATGTCTGCCACTAGAATATAATCTCATTGAGGGCAGAGACCTTTTCTCTCTAATTCACTGTTATATCTCAGTATAATGGGGACTTCATAGATATTTGTTCACTGTTAAATGAATTAAAGAATCTGTAGTTCAGCTATTGTAGGTCTGGTTTCTTACCATCTGTTTTGCATCTTGATCCCCTGATGCTCTTCCATGATCTCCAGAATACAGAGACTCCTTCGTGTTCTCACTGTGTCTACCTTACCTTGCCTCACACAGTGGTTTGACATCTCTTGCCTGGGGCCATGACAAACCCTCTAATGTTATTTCCCTTTTTATGACTCCTTGATACTTGTTGGTGGAAAGTTTAAACCTTTTAAACTACAGTATGACATGGGCAGCTGTTCACAATCTGGCCCAGTTCTGACCTCTCCAGGCTCATCGTTCACCATCCACCCCCACCCCATGTGTGCTGGTTCTGCCTACACTTGCTTGATTCCTGAGTGTCCAGGGCCTCTGCGCCTACCTGAAATGTCCCTTTCCCCTCTTCGCTACTTAGAAAATGCCTATTTCTCCTAACTCAGATGTCTACTATTCTGAAACACTTTCTCTGATCGAAGTCATTCTTTTTTCTCTATGTTCATTCAATGAGCACTCCACTCTGGAGTCTTTC